AAAACTTGCAGGCACAAAGGACCATGAACTCCAGCTGCCTCTCCAAACCCAAACATTTTTTATCAGCCTTTGCAAAACCTTCCCCACTGTAAGTCCGACCCTCAGGAGCTTTTGCAAACTTCGAGTCCCTGCAAAGAAAGTCCCATCAGCAGCAAAACCAGCTCAGCATCTGGCAGGCGAGAGGAGGAGGCAACCATTTGGTTTCATCTCTGACCTTTTTGAAAGCCCCCCATTCCCCTCAAGCATTGCAGACAATTTTCTTGGCTTCTCCAGGATCCCACTGATTTTTTTTGAAAGCGCAAAGATCTTAGTGTTTTGTTTTTTTTTTAAATAAGTGTATAAATACCCCTCAGTCAGCCCAGAGGAATAATTTTCTCTGTTGCAAGAGAGTGTTGTTAACGCACTAACAAGAATTTGGGCAGCTGCTGCCTGACTTTTGCAACTTCCCTCCCAGGGTAAGGAGAACTATTTGTGCCCATGTCCTAGGCTGGTAAACTGAGGCCATGCTGGAAATTGCTGTAGGTCAAGCTGCCTTGCTGTTAACCGAGCACACATATGGCTGCATCTTTATGGTGATGTATGCACAGCTGCCAGCCACCGGCTCCAAATTTGAACCATGCAAAGAGTTGCTGGGTGCAGGGTTGCACCGTACGATCCGGATCCCAGCAGGCATCACGCACGCTGCACCCTGTCCCCTCCATGACACATCCTAAGGAGATAGTCCGTGTTGCACTGAACGTAGGCATGAACATGACTTGTCCTTTCCTTCCAAGTTTCCTTTAGATGGGAGGAGAAAAAAAAAAAGGGAAAAGAAAAAAGAGGAGGATGAATCATGGCTTAGTCAGAGTTGGGGCTCGCCAGAGCAGTCGCTGCCGTTGCCTGCATTTTGATGCTGGGAGAAGGGTGCCAGGGCAGGCTGGCTGGTGATCCCTTGGTACCAGTAAGTTCTTCCAAAGGGGATGGGGAATTTAGTCCAGGATTGTGATTTTTGGGCCATATCCAGAGCCTAATTCCACCGTTCGGGGTGGGTTGCTAGGTCAGTTCGGTGTTTGAGCAGCAAAGAAACAAAAAGGGGAATTGAGGGGTTTTGGCTTTGGTGTTTTGGAGAAGTTTTCAGCCTGTAAACCCTGTAAAAGATGGGTGTCCCGTTCTCACAGAAATGGTGTTTTTCACCCTTTTCCATCAGACTCCCCTCCTTTGCGCTGCCCTCTCCTCTCCCACCCCTCTGGACCTGCCGCCTCCATCCCTCAGATGCTCGAGGTCATTTTTTTCCCCATCCACCACCAAGACCTTCAGATTTCAAGCCCTGGCATTATATTTATACCCCGTCCCCTTGCATTTATTAAATCTCCACAGGTTCCTGCGATGGGGTAGGTAAGGCAGCACCTCCAGCGAACGCTGGGTGATTTATTCCTCCCTCCGCATCTTTCGTCACCCGGCGAAGCAGAGGATGCGGGACAGCACCGCTGGCCATCCCATGGCACACTGTGCCCGCGGTGGCTCTCAGCAAGCTGCTGCACCTCTTACGAACAGCATTTGCCCCCCTTGGTGACTTGATTTCTCGAAAAATCGCTGAGCTAAGCACCCAGTGGGCTTCTTTCACGGCAGCTGTGAGCAACAGCTTATTTACCGGTCCAGGCTCTATTTATAGGGAGTTGTGCTTTTGCACAGCACGACTCGAGAGGGGAAAATAAACCCTCTTGGTGCACCTACTGCTGTCCTGCCTGCCATGCTCTCCCCGCGGTGAAAGTGCCTTATAAATAGTAATGACGCTTCTTCCAGCTGACCTCGCTTGGAGCAGCTGGGTGCTCGTGCCTTTGAAAACCAGGCCATTTATTTAGGAGTTGAAGCTTTCCGCTCCAGTTATTTAAAGAGTTTTTAAGCCAAGAATTACTAGGTGGATCTAATTTGAAGTGACTGTGATTTTAATTCAGGCGGGGTTTCGCTTTCGGACTCCTTTCGATAGTGTGGGGGTGGTGATTTTTGAAGAGAAGAGCTGCAGAGAGGAGAGCTGGGCTGCTGGAGGAAGGGGGATGCCCAAACTCCTCATCCTGTAACATCACGTGAATTTTCTTCCTTCTTCATGTTTTAGCTGGGAACCAAATATTCATTGTCCTCCATGGGAAAAGATCTGAGATTTTAGAAAAAAAAAAAACCCTCCTGCCCTTTCGTGAGGATGGATTTTGTCCACAGTGGTCCAGGGAGCGCTGTCGTGTCTCACCCCCATCCCCACCTTTGCCAACCAGGGCGCTCACTGCTCTCCCCGTCTTCCTTCCCACATCCCAAATCTCTGCCTCTTTTCCAGCTCCCTCATAGAATCTATTTTATTTTTTTTTTAAATGTGAATATTTTTTTCCTGCGTAGGAGAAGGAAGGATTGTGCGTTTTTTACTCCATCCATCTTGGCTCCATGTAAGGAGATAATCAAAAATATGTTCTTTCTAGACCCGTTATATAAATAGAAGCCTTTGCTTCTAGAGAAGGAAAATACCCTACTTAATTAAAAAAGGCTATTGAATACCCTAAGTATCCGAGATGCTACTGATGGGCTTTAAATTTTCAAGCAAAATTTGCTTTATTAAACCCCATCAAAGCAGATGCTCCCACCTCCACAGCTCTTCCCAGCTATAATATATGTATTTCCACGATTCCCCCGTTCGCCGCCCAGCACCCTGCCCCACGGACCCAAACCGGTGCCGAGTGGGATCCACCCCATCGCTGCGGCTGCGGTGGGGGCTCCGAGCCCCTGGGGGTTTCGGTGCCCCCAAAGTGTTTTTTTTTCCTCTGGGTGGCCCCTGGATGTCCCCAACCCTGCTGTGCTGCGAACGTGGACTTCTTGGGGTTGTTATTGCTGGGTTGCTGTTCACAGCCTGATTTAAGGTGGAAAGGTCACTTGCAGGAAGCTGGCCACTGGAATAATAATAAGAATAAGAATAAGAATAAGAATAAGAATAAGAATAAGAATATAAAAGAATAAAAATATACTAAATAATAAATAATAAACCAATAAAATTAAATAATAATAAAACAAATGATATAATAATAAAAGAAACGATGCAATGTTAATAAAATAATACAAGAATAAAAATAATAAATAATAATAAAATAAATGATAAATGATAAAATAATTAGAAGTAAAATAAAACAGTATTAAAAAGAATAAATAAAATGAATACTAAAGCAATAAGAATGATAAATAACAATAATAAAATAAATAATGAAATAATGAAAAGAAGAATACGATCGTGCCCGTTTGAGAGCTAAGCTTCCCGGGGGAG